ATGACATTGAACACCAATGATCATTAAGAATATTTTGGCACTAATAAAACAGTAATGAGTATGTGCAAACTCTTAGATCAATAATTTAAAAGAGCTGCTTCAAGAATGTGCTTCAAGAAAACATAGAAAAATAACTCACTACTTCATTTTAAAAAATAATAGGAATGGAGGCAATGTTAAAAATCAAACAGAAATTCTTGAACTTATAATACACTAACCAAAATTTAAAAAGCAAAGAATAAAGGAAGAATAAAATTGATCAAAGGAGAAAAAATTTTGAGCTGAAAATTAGGTATTTTGCAAACAGAGTTGGAGAAGATTAACTGGAGTCTATCTCCTGTATATCTTCTCTCACTTCTCACTTATATGGTTCCGGGAGACCAAATTGTGGGCTTGGGAAATACTGACAATGAGGAAAGACAGAGTGGAACAGCAGTAATTTGAACATAGTTGTAGATGATAAGTGCAGCCAGGGCATGTTTTGTGGAGGAGGGTGATTTGACCCTGGGGATATCACTGCAGAGACTTATTATTATTATTTTGCTTAACATAATCATCTTCAGTTTCATCAGTTTTCCTGCAAAGGACATGATTTCCTTCTTTATGACTGAATAATATTCCATTCAGTATATATCACATCTCTATTGATTTGTGTGTTGATGACATCTCATCTGTTTCCACAGCTTAGGTATTTTCTATTGTGCTGCTATAAATATGGGCATGTATGTATTTCTATATTATGTTGTATTTAATACTTTCAAGAATATATCAAGTACTTGTATAGCCAGATCATATGGAATTTCTAATCCTAGTGTTTGATAAATCTCAATATTGATATTGATTGTTGCTGTACCAGTTTACATTCCAGCAAAAGTATAGTAGAGTTCCTTTTTCCCCAGAATCCTAACCAGCATTTCTTGTTTTCTGTATTATTGAATTTTTGTATTTATTATTCTGATGGGGAAAGATGGAACCTCAGTGTAGTTTTTCTTACATTTCCCTAATGGCTAAAACCATAGAACATTTTTCTTATAGTTATTATATAGTTAAAGTTATTTTTGAAAAATTTTAATATATACTTATAATTCATAATGAAGTAATTCATCATAGGTAATTGGTACATAAACATATTGCATCTTTACCCATTTTTAGTTTTTTTAGAAACAACTTTTCAATTCATTTGCCCATTTTTAATTGGATTATATGTTTGGGAGATTTAATTTTTAGTTCTTTCTATTGACTAGTTAGCCAGAGATTTAGCTCGGTGGCACCATGTCTGCCTTGCAAGTGCAAGGTCCTGAGTTCAATCCCCTTTACTAAGGAAAAAAAAGAAAAAGAAAAATATCTGTTGAATAGGTAAATATTTATAGGCAGTTACAAAAAGCATTAAGCAATATAAGAACACATAATACTACTACTTAAAAGTCTTTCCTAGGAATAAATAGAAGAAAAAGGAAAAATGGAAACAAAGTCTTTGTAAATAGGGAGAGGTGGAGGGATTGAAGGGAGGGCAAGGAAATGGAGGAAAAAATAAAAACCAAGATATATTATGTAAATGTACAAATTCCCAATAATGAATGTCAGCATATTGTATACCTAAATGTACCAATAAAATTAATGAAAAAACAAAATCTTTCCCAAACAGAAACCAAAATGGCATATAGGTATATGAAATTATAATAAAAGCCATTAGCAATCAATTTATATTCAAATTAAAACCAAAATGGGAATACCATTGCATACTCATCAGACAAAAAAAATTATAATCTGAAAATATGAAATGTTAATTAAAATGTAGAGTATATAGAGTCATATAATATAGATTACTTTATATTACCAAGAAAGTTGAACATAAACATATATCAAAACAGCAATTCCACATTAAAAGAAATTCTTTCTATTGTACGGGAAGAAACAGGGACAATAATCTTCATGAAAGTTTAGTTATAATGTTAAGAACCTAAATGTCTATGGGTAATAAAATAGGTGGAAGAAACATTAGTAAAATGGCAGAATAAGAGATATCTCTTGTCATCTGTCCACAGAAACATAGAGTTTGGCAAGTAGCTAAGGATAAATGTAAGTTGTTGGGAGTCTAGGAGTTCTGAAAAGTTCCAACATACAGGTTGAGCAAATAACCCAAGAACAGATACAATTAGGGTGGTGTTTCACTTTTCCTATGGTAATCTCTCAGTGTGAGACAGTTAAATGTAGCAAACCCCTTTATGCTACAAATTCTCCTAAACTAGACAACAGAAGTCTAGATAATGAGAGCCAGCTCCACTAGGAATATGGCATGCAGCCCAAGAAACCCACTTGTTTCTTACCTTACCCAGATAACTAAAATGGTTATTAAACACCCTGTGAACACCAAAAAGAAGCTAGACTATGCTGTCTTGGGTCTACTCATATGCAGAACTCCCTCAACTGGCATATGAGCACCTGAAATATTTCACACACCTTCTCTATTCCTGGCCAGTTCTCTGAGCAGGCCCCCGCTAACAGTCAGCAGAAGCATCTTGCAGTCATCTAGTGTGACTGTATGTTAAGAGAAAGCATTTTAATTTGAGAATTTTAGACTATTGTCTTAGAGAAAACAAATGGTGGATGCTCAGCACTGTGCCTGGCACTTCAGAAGAGACTGAAATTTAAGACCCAAGCCCAGGCATGATGGTACATGCCTATAACCTCAGCACTCTGAGAAACTGAGGCAGAAGGAGGATTGCAAGTTTCATTCAGCCTCAGGAACTTAGCAAGATCCTGTTTGTAAATAAAAAAATTTAAAATAGCTTAAGATATTGCTTCTTTTGAATGCCATGATTTCTTTTTTTTTTCTTAAATTCTTTTATTTGTACATTTTAGGTATACAATACATTTACATTTCTCATTGGGAACTTGTACCTTTATATGATGTATCTTGGTTCTTATGTTTTCCCCATTCCCTGCCCTCCTTTCACCCCCACCCTTCCCTATTTATAAAGACTTTGTTTCCATTTTTTTCATTTCTCATAATTTTTCCTTTCCCTTCTTTCCTTTCCACTGCCACTCCCTCTTCCCCTACCCCAATGGACCTTTTCTTCCTATTTCACATTATCAATTATTCATTTTAGTCATTGGTACATTTTAGGTATACAATATAATGATATTCATCATTGGAAATTTGCACCTTTATATAATCTCTCTTGGTTCTTATTTTTCCCCCTTCCCTTGCCCTCCCTTCAATCCCTCCATCTCTGCCTATTTACAAAGACTTTGTTTCCATTTTTCCATTTTCTCATATTAATTCCATTCCCTTCTTTCCTTTCCCCTACCCCTCCCACTTCCCCTTCCCCTTTGCCCCTTTTCTTCCCATTTCACACTATCCATTATACCTTTTAGTCCTTATTTACACTTTCAGTTTCTCACACTAGAGAAACTATTCAGTATTTACACATGTGTGTCCTATTTATTTCACTTGAGTATCACCTCAGTGTGCATCCATTTTGCTGTAAATGTCTCTAATTTCTCAATCTTTATGGCTGAGTAGTACTCCATCTTTTAAAAAAAAAATCCAAATTTTCTTTATCCAGTCTCCAGTTGATGGGCATCTGGGCTGCTTCCAAGTTTTAGCTATTACAAATTGTGCTGCTATGAACATGGGTGCCCATACAAAAAAAATGCTGAACCTATGAAATGATGTGAAGTAAGTACAGGGTAAGTACATGAGCTGTTGTAAAGAACAAGAATTTTTCAGGCAAGGCTACCAAAATACAAGCAAAAGGAAGAACAGAAAAAGAATTCTATCAAATTAAATATTGCTGTACAGCAAAGGAAAAAACCAACAGATTTCAGATACAACCTGAACAATGGGAGAAAATATTTGCCAAATGAATACCTGACAAAGGGTTAATTTATAAAGAAGTATTCAGAACACAAACAATTATTTACAAAAACTCCAAAAATAATAATAAAATGTGTAATTGAATGTCCAAGGAAAATAAGTAAATGCTCAACTTTTCATTCTTTAGGGAAATGCAAATAAATTCATTTATGAGGGAAATGCAAAACAATACTGCAATCAAATATTAGATTGCTCTAATGAAAAATGGGAATTATCAAAACTATAAAACATAAAACATGTGGGAGAGCTTGTGGGGAATAAGGTACCAGTAAACATTATTGATGAAGATGTAAACTTGTAGAAAAATTACTGAAAATAATATAGAATTTCCTCAAAAATTTAAATTGAGAAAGAACTACCATAGGAACTACCAAGTGGCAGAAATGCCACTTGTGTGTATATATCCAAAGGAAATACACACTTTGAAGAAAGACTTGCACTCCCATGTTTACTGCAGCACCATCCACAGCAATCAAGATATTGAAACAATCTAAGTATCTATCAACTGATAAATGAACAAAGAAAATACTATTCACATAATAGAATATAATTCAAATATAAAAGGAATGAAATCATATCATTTGCAACACCATAGAACAGATCATTATAATTGAATAATGCAGGATAAATAGGAAAAGTATGGTATGATCTCAATCACATGTAGTGTCTGAAAGTTACCCTCATTGAAGTTGAGAGCTCAATGGTGGTTATAAGAGGCTGGGCTCAGTAATGGTGAAGGAAGGCAAGGGGAAAGGTTGAACAATGGGTTGGATGATATAGTTAGATAAAAGTAAGACCTTCTGTTTTGCTACTGTTCAATAGAATGACAATTAAAAATGATTATGTGGCATATATTTCAAAAGGGTAGAAGAAACTATTCTTGAAGTTTCACTATAAACAAATAATAAATATATGAGGGGATAGATATTTTAATGATACATAAATATTTATCAATATAATATATTAAAACTTTACATGTTACCCTACAGATATGTATGAAATATATGTTAAAATAAATTTTAAACATAAAAATAAGAGTAATAATGCTAAAAATTCATAAATTTCTGCATTGCTTTGGTTCATAAATGTAGAGCCAACTTTCCAAGCCTATATACATTACCTGGTGAAGGCATGTGTCCAAAAATGCCATTGAAGAAAGCAGGCATCCGAATGCTGCCACCAATATCAGATCCCACACCAATAACTGAACAGGCAGCTGCCAGGGTGCAGCCCTCACCACCTATAGGGAGTACAGAAAAAATTTTGAAATAAAAAATTACTATGTTATTATTTGCATGAAATAAATTTTCTATTCTTTCACTTTTCAAAACTTTATGTATTCAGATTTGAAGTGTGTCATAATTTGAATTATGATTTTAGTATATTCAGCACATCTATATCTTTTCCAGAAATTAAAACATTTACACTTAATGTAATTACTTATAAAGAAAACTTTCCATTTGACATTTTTATTTGTTTCTTTAATATTCTTGTAGCTATTTGTCTTTCAATTCCTCCATTACTGCCTTTCTTTGTGTTTAATTGTTTTTTGTAATAGTATGTTTAACTCCTAGTTTCCTTTCATGTATATTATATGAATATTTTCTTTGTGATTACCATGAAGATTACATAAACATGTTGTTATAGGGGCTGGGGATTTAGCTTAGTGGTTCTGCTGCCTGCCTCACATGCACAAGGTCCTGAGTTCGATCACCAGTACCAAAATAAAAAACATGTTGTTATAAAAATATATTTAAATATTTTTGCCAATTAACTTCAATTGTATACAAACTCTACTTATATAGTACTACCTTCCCTATTTATGTAACCGGAGTCACAAATTACAACTTTATACATTGTATAACTAATACCATAAATATATAACTAGATTATATGTTGTTCTTTAAATTCTGTATAAAATAAAACCTGGTGTTGTCAACTCAAACTACACTACTATTGTTTTTTAAAATATTTGCTCATAAATTTGCTTTAATTGGAGAAGTTTTTATTTTATTTTATTTTTTTGTACCAGGAATCAAACTTACAACCTTACACTTGCCAGGCAGGCATGATGCCAATGAGCTACATCCCCAGCCCAAGAGGTTTTATTTTCATATGGCTTGAGTTGCTCCTTAGCATCTTTTCATTTCAAATTGAAATGCATCAACATTTCTTGTAGGGCACATTTAGTGTTAATATACTCTATTCCCTCAGGTTTTGTTTATTTGTAAATGTCCCATATATAGAATTTTCAATTGACATTTATTTTCTTTTATCACAATTATATCATTTCACTGCCTTCTCTCCTCCAAAATTTCTGCTTAGAAATCTTATGAAAAATTTATTGAGCAGCCTAGGTAAAAGATAAATGACTTTTCTCATGCTCCTTTCAAGATTCTGTTTTTGTCTTTGTCTTTCAAAAGTTGATTATGTGTTCAATGTGAGACTATCTAGAATAAACTTGGATGTTGGTCATTAAGATTTTGAGATTGTGGGCCAGGGATTTATCTCAGTGGTTCCACTGCCTGCCTCCCAAGCACAAGGTCCCAAGTTCGATCCCCGGTACAAAATTTTTTTTTTGAATTTGTAGATCCATGTTTTTCTCCTATGTAGGAAATATAGGGCCATTAAATTTTAGAATACAGTAATTTTTGGCATTTTCTCTCACTTCCTTTAGAATCCCCATAATGCACATATTGTCTGTTCAAATGTATCTCATAAGTCCTTCAGTCTTTGCTTTTTAACATTTTTCTTCTTGCTCCTCAGATTCAAAATTTTAAATGATATCTCTTCAAGGTAAAAGATTTATTTGTTCTGCCTGTTTGATTCTGCTGTTGAACTCAGTCAATTTTCCATTGATGTGATAAAGTAACTGAGATTTTAAAGAAGACATTTGCGATAGTAATACAGAACTTCAGACACTTGAAGAAAAAATTTAAATGCACAGAACTGCAACAGAACATCTAAGGAACCCAGACAAATATGCAGTGAGACTATTTGGAACATTATGATATTTAAAGGAACTCCTTTATATGGGAAAGTTGAAGAAAAGCACAGACACACTGAAACCAGGCAAGAAAATCTCAAAAAGCAGTTTAAGAATTTTTGTTTTCACTCTAGTTTGATTTCAAGACACAAGAATATTTGCTGCTAATAAATAGAGGTATTTTCTGTCACAGAGTAGTCTACAAAATCTAGGAAAGGTGGCCATTCTTTCAACTGCCCAAATTTCAAAAGAAGCAATGAAAAATTAAAATGTATGCAAAGAAAAAAAATTAATCCCTAAAATATCATAAGAAGATATATTGATATTGTCATTTAGTTGAAATATTTAGCAATATTCCTCAACACTTTCATTTAATCCATGTGTTTTTAAGTGTGAAGTTAATCTCCATGTATTTTTGAAATTTCAGCTATCTTCTTGAAATTAATTTCAAATTCCATTTAATTGTGGTCAAAATCTATATATTTCATGATTCCTATTCTTGGAAGTTTGATAATGATTGCCTTGTGGTTCAGAACTTTATCTTCAAAGCTTCTCTTGTGACCTTGAAAATATATTTTGTACAGTTCTGAAATGAAGTGGTTTTTTATTAAGTTTACTGGTACAATTCAGATATACATAATGATCACATTGATCATATGGAATTTGAACCAGAAGATGTATCTTAATTTTTCCCATTCCTCTCCCCTCCCTTCAACCCTTCTTCCCCTCCTTATTTCCAAAACTTTGTTTCTCTTTTATCATTCTTTTCTCACATTTTCCCTTTTCCCTTACTTCTTTTTCCCTCTCCCCCTTCCATATGCCCCTTCCCACTTGAAATTTTTCTTCCTACTTCACATAATCTATTGTACATTTTGGTCCTTTTTTACACTTTCAGTTTCTTACACCAGAGAAATTTGATATTTACACATGTATGTCCAATTTATTTCATCTAAGAGCATGGTTTCTATGTGGATCCATTTAGCTATAAATGTCTCAAGATCATCCTTCTTTATAACTGAGTAGTACTCCATTGCATAAAAGAACCACATCTTCTTTATCCATTCATTAGCTGATGGGCATTTGGATTGTTTCCAAGATGTTGCTATTAGAAACTGCTGCTATGAACATGGGTGTGCATATATCACTGTGGTATGATGCTTTTAATTCTTTTGGGAAGATAAGGATAGCTGGGTCAAATGGAACCTCTAGTCCTAGTTTTTGAGGAACATCCACATTGATTTCCACAATGCTTGCATCAGGCTGCACTCCTGCCAGAAGTGGAGAAGGGTTCCTTTTTCCCAACAGCCTCACCAGCATTTGTTATTGATTGATTTCTTGATAATAGCCATTCTTTCTGGAGTGAGATGGAATGTCAGTATTGTTTTAATTTGAATCTCTCAAATGACTAGTGATGTTGAACATTTTTGCATATATTTATTTGCCATTTGTACTTCTTCATGCAAGAAGTGTGCGTTCATTTCAGATGCTCATTTTTGTACAGGGTCTTTAAATTTAGCAAGTTTGATTTTTTTTTAATTCTTTATATATTCTAGATATTAGTCTTGCTGAGGAACAGATGGCAAAGTTTTTTCCACTCTGTTGGTTGTCTCTTCATTATTTTGGTGATTTCTTTTGCTGTGCAAGGGCTTTTTAATAACATGAGATCCCAGGTGTTGATTCCTTATAAAATTGCCTGTGCAATTGGGGTTCATTTCATAAAGTCTTCACCTATACTGATGTCTTCAAGTGTTCTATCTATTTTCTCTTTTGTTTTGACATTTAGATTTTTAATCCATTTTGTTTTTAATTTAGTGTATGGTGAGAGAGATGGGTTCAGTTTTAGTCTTCAGCATGTGGAAAGCCAGTTTCTCCAGCACCATTTATTAAAGAGGATATCTATTCCCCTAAACAGGTTTGGCCCCTTTGTCAAAGATAAGGTCACTGTGTGTGTTTGGATTGGCTTCTGCATCTTCTAATCTGTTTCCTTTATCCATAAATCTGTTGTTTTTACCATGCTGTTTTTATCACAGTAACTCTGTAGTATAATTTCAAGTCAGGGATTGTGGTGCCCCCTACCTTACCTTTGTTGCTCAGAATTGTTTTTGTAATTCTGGACCTCTTCTGGTTCCAAATGAATTTTAGGAATGTGTTCTCTAGTTCTGTGAGGTATGTTATTAGTATTTTGACTGAGATTGCATCAAATCTATATAACAATTTTGGGAGTCTGGCCATTTTTACTATGTTAGTTCTTTCTACCCATGAGCAAGGGATGTCTTTCTATTTTCTGATATTTTCTCCAATCTCCTTTTTTGGGGTACTGTTGCTTTCAGTATAAAGATCATTTACAAACTTTGTTAGATTGATTTCTAATATTTCATTTTTTGATGCTATTATGGTTTCCCTAATTTCTATCTCAGTAATTTGTTATTTGGGTACAGGAATGCTATTGCTTTTTGAATGTTGACTATATCCAGCTAAGTGACTGTATTTAATGATTAAATCAAGAAGTCTTTTTGTGCAGCTTTTGGGGTTTTCTGTGTGGGGTATCATGTCTTTTGCAAATAATGGTAGTCTAACTTCTTCCCTTTATTCTTTTTGTTTATTTATCTTTTGTAATTTATTTATTTTCTTTTTTCTAATTGCTCCAGCTAATGTTTCCAGAACTGTTCTGAATAGGAGTGATGATAGTGGAAATCCTTGCCTTGTTGCTGATTTTAGAGTGAAAGGTTGCAGTTGTTGGCTGTTGGTTTGTCATAGATGGCTTTTATCAGATTGAGGTAAAGACAAACTGTTATGGTTTGTGTTTAGATGTCTCCCAAAAACCTCATGAAGATGAGGTGGGACTTTCTTTTTCAGAGGCAATTGAATCTGGAATGTATGATGCCAGGGTTAAGGGCACGTGATTACTAAACCACTACATATGAGAGATTAGTTTGGCACCACCCTAACCCTGGCAATTTGAGTAAGATAAAAGGGGCAGAAAGATGCTGTTAAACTCTCTCTTGTTACCTTTGCTGCCCTGTGCACACCATGTTGTTTCTCCTCTGTGATCCTTATTTGCCATCCCAGCCTCAGAGCCAGCTGATTATGGACTGAAACCTCTGTGAACTATAAGCCAAATAAACCTCATCCCTTCTAACTTTGGGAGTTAGGTATTTTGTCTCAGCAATGAGAGAAAAGTAACTACAACAGAAATTGGTACCAGAGAAGTGGGGTCATTGCTGTGACATTGCTGGCTATGTGCCTTGAGAGAC